AGTAATCACTCTTCTGCCCACAATGTAATTATTTTACATATTCAGAGTGTATAACAGACATCTGAGCCATAAATAATTCCAGCTTTTAATGTCTGCACTTCTTTTCTTGCCCCTACAAATAACCCAAACAGTTGTTAGCAAGTTACTTTCTGGCTTCATACCTAAGAACTGGACAAATACATTTTTCCTTAAAAAATGACTCAAAAATAAACTGGCACAACAATTTGTCTATAACCATTAAGTGTAACTCAACAGCTTTCATAAAATACTTTACAGAAGTTCCTTTTCTTTGTGTTGATATTCTCCTTGGGCCAGAGTCTGGGCCTTACTCTGCCATACACACTATTCTGGTACAAAGCCTATCCACTTCCCCATCACTGGAGGAGGTCTGTTCCATTACACTGATCCTGTTCTAGCCTCTTCCTTGCTGGAAGTGAAAGACCAGAGATTTGATAAAGTACAGTCATGATGAAGAGGGCTCTTAAACAGCTCCTCTCCCCTATTCCAGCTGGGTTTCTGCCAATTCAAATGGATGAGTGAGGGCCAACAGACATATTAGTGCAACCCTGTATTTAAGGCTAAATTATCCCCTGGATGACCCTAGAGTCAATTTACGGGTGCAGAGACTAATGTACAATAGAGTTCAGAAAGCCTCCACAGTCCAGCTTTGGAAATGCCTTGACACATGCCACTGGATACCTCAGAGGGCAGAGGGAGGAATATATATGTGCTCATATTTCATGTTTGTGCAGCATCCTATTTTGCAACTTTAAAAAACATTTTTACCCTTTTGTGACAAAGTAAGAAAAGCTACTCTGATTTCCCATTATACCAATCAAATGGAAGTCTACTTATTCTAATTCTTACTACTGCTTAAAACAGTAATTTAAGTCTGCAGACAAGTTGTCCCCTAAGGATTCAGTAGCTCAGCAATAACTCTTCCTTGACCTTCCAGGTGCAAGAAGTATCTGGTTGCACGGTGCACAAGCATGCACCATATTAGCAATAGTGACCAGCAGCCCCCGACTTTCTTTTCCTTAAGGGTCTTGCCACATGAAGACGCCAACTTCCCCATAATTTCCTGTGTTGGGGGTTAAGGAAGCCAACAGAAAGAAAAACTATGTATTAGCATGCATTCCCCGTTCCTTTCACAGGTCTGGTATCTTAAAGGAATGGGCAGAAGAGCTGTCCAAGATGCAGAGCACATACCATGTGTGTTTAGTTGGCTGCCATGATACATGGCAGTAAACTCAGCAGGATACTGCTCTTGCTTTGCTGGAAGTTCTGGAAATTTTTTGTAATCCTTCCTCAGTGTAGAGTAACCATCCTCAGTATTTGATGGGGATTAATCCTATTTGCTGTTCTGTAGAAATGTTCACAGCTACCCACAGCTTTCCTTGCTAAGTAGCGGCTGCCCATATGGACATATAGCTTTAGTGTTTTATTACTTAACTAACATGCAATCACAGCCCTAAAAGCAGGTGCCTGCACCTGCTGTGCAGAAGCATGAATGATACTCAGGACTCCAGTGAGGCAAAGCAAGTAGTTGTGGAGTGACTTTTATGTCACTAACTAAAGGAGAGCCAGGTCTCACTAACAACCTGCAGAGCAGATTTACATCCTGATCCCCTCAAGTATCTGAGTAAATGCAGATGATAGGATGAAAGGCTGCTGCAGGTGTTTCCCCACCTGCAGCTGGGAAGAGTGGCAACCAGGACTGTACTACACTATTTGCTTCCTGGAACACAATTTCCACCAGCAGTGGGAATCAAGGATGGCACCCAATTGCTACATAAGACAACTTCTGTCCCATTCACATCACTATATCAATTTCACCAGATATTTCTATTAAAACCTTACAGCAACCCCAACACCAGTTTGGGTATTGAACAATATACAGATATAAAGTAGCGACACGTTCAGCTATCTTATAAAGGTCATTTTTATGTTAGTGTTTCCAAAAGCAGGGAAGTAGGGCAAGCTTTTCAAACTTGGCTGCCTGAAGCAATCTAACTGTCTATCTGAGAAGCTCAACTGAGCAGTCTAATTTCTGGATAAAAGCATTCAAACTTCCCATCAAGTTACTGTCAGAGACTCTCCAGAATCTTTTGCACTGGCTTATATTTAGTGCAGACCTAAAAGCAAAGCACAGGTGCAATTTAAAGCCAGTGGCCAAAATTTCAATAGTAACACAGAAGGGATGTACTTCACGCTTGGGTCACCTAACCTGAAACAGGCAATGGGCCAAGTTTCCAGAAATGCTCAGGATGTTCCTTGAAAATTTTTAAGCATTATCTGAGTGCTCTAACAACAGAAAAGCAGTGAAGCAAGACAAGTTCCTGCTTACAGTAACTGCCTTTGATCAAGCTTGTTCCATTGCTTTGTGACAAGTATGTGAACATGGCAGACAGAGTGGTCAAATGCTGTTGAAACCTCAAGGTTACAGAAATGCCAATAAAGGCAGGAGTAGTCCAAGATTAATACCACCCAAACCAAATAAAAGAACATAATATCCAGGTAGGACTCTCATGATATGGAAGCTCACATAAAAAAAAAAAAAAAAAGCTTCAAATCACATGAGAATAAGTAAAAAATCTGAAAGACTTGATGCAGTTGGATAAGCATCTCTCAACTAAAATCAAAGAACAATTGGTGAAAGAGATATCACTCTGAAAATTAAGCCAGGTTTCTGTAAGTTAATGAAAACTAGAAGAAAAATCAAGGAAAAAATTGAATCTCAAATTTGTGTCTATTCAGAAGAAACAGTTCAACGGTATGGAAATATTCTTCCACACTGTAGAATCTAAACCAAGTTTTCCACCCATGTGAACTAATAAACTTGCATGCTCAGGCCATCTGGACAACTGCCTGTGTGGATGATCAGTCATCTTTTAAAGAAAATCATCCAGCAAAGGTTATTTTGCACAATATAGGAGAAAGGAAGGGGTAAAAAAAAAAAAAAAAGGGGGTGGGGGAGAGAGGGAAGAGAGGGAAGTCAAGCAAACAGTAGGACTAAAGAAAACAGTTTTGCTGTTTCTGGATGACCTGAATAAGCTAGGTGCCATCAGGCTGTATTAGAGGTGCAAATCACATCCAGACGCTGCTCTGGAATTGCAGGATAGTTTTGCCAAAGAAATGTGTAGAGGTTTTACTTGGATTCAACTGGAAACTGAAAGTTAAATGCATGTAACATAACAGAACATTTGAATACCATTTTGGACTGTAAACTTATCTATTGCAAAACTCCTGCTCCAAAAGCATTCGATGAAAACAGACTGCAGCATTAAAGTGTACACAAAGAAATAAGAACACCATGTAGGATTTAACGTGAAGAATGACAAGTCCGTGTTAATGAGAGAAGAGAGACCATATTACAGATAGTGGTAGCCAAAACCAACAAGCTTGCTTTCACTAGGACTCAAAGAATAATTTTTAATTTAAGTACTAGCATTACTGAAAGCCACAGAAAAATGAGTCTGCCAGAATTGGAAGTGAGAAAATACTTCATCTTCTGCCAGAATACTAAGTCCATTCCAAAGCTCACTTGAGTTACTAGAAGACTTTCCACTGTCCCCAGTATCAGCAATATGATTTTTTCCATTTTATTTCCCTTCTACTTTCAAAATGGAAGGGAAGGTATCTTCCATGTAACTTTAAGTATTTTTAAGTATTAGAAATATATACAATATTATATTTATGAATTCATTTCATAAGTATGAATATCAGTACTTTCTAAAACACTGTATACAACCCACACCACACTCCTGAAGTAAGTAAGGCACAGTTTCTGTTATTGTTTGTATTTCAGCTCCACCTCTCCAATATTTCAACACTCTTTGGGAAAGAAAAAGAAAAAAAATGCTTTTACAGTTTCTCCAAATGCTAAATCCATATTCTAGTAACTAAATAATATTATTAGTTTAGTAATACTATTGTATTGCAGGAAAAGCATGGCAAATGTTAAGGATTAACAGTAATTGAACCTGATATTCTATTACCTAAACCAGAAACGTTGCTAGATGCAGTATTTTAATAACATAAATAAGACTGCATGTATGTGTTACGATGAAGTTGTGCTAGGTGTTTATTTACACAGAAGGGTCTGATGATCATCCTGGGAATGTAAAAGGTTCTTTGGGTGCAAAGCGTCATTGGTGTACTGAAAGTGGCATTAACATTCATGACCTGGAAGCATTCACCAAATAACCACAGCCACAGAATAAAGTTGCATCAGTATCCATCAGGCTTTATTAGAGGTGCAAATCACAAGCCAAGGACTGATTCTCAGTTCACTATTTCTGTAAGCTTTAGGAAAAGCAAAGAGCTGAATGCATCAAAGCACAGCATGCTCTGCAATAAGCCCTTTCCACACACACTAACAAAGGCAAAGCTGAAGTTCATTCCCAGCATCTAGTTCTATCCTTTAAGTTACGCAAGAAACAGAGCAGCCTTTTGGTTTGTCCCACACAGATAGTTCCTCACATTTGCTCCAACCACACCTTCATGCAGTTCACACCTTGATTTCCAGAAGAAACATGAACAATTTGCAGCAGGTAAGAGAGCACCTTCAGGCTGGCCCAGAAGACAACTCTAGCTTCTCAGTGGAGTAGCTCACCCAACAAGCTTACCCAAGCCCCAGCCAGGAAACACCACTCCTAGATGCCTCTATAGAGAGAAGTACAGATCCTGGGACTCACACCAAAGCACACGCATACTCCCACTAAATCCTAAAATACAGGGCCAGTGCTGGCCAGTTGAGCCCCTCCAAGCTGTGCTTCCCTTAGAGCAAAGGTCAGCTGGAAGCCACCAAACAACAGGAAGCCCAGGTGGGATTTCCTCTTGACCTTTAAAGCCAATTGCCTGATGTGCTTCCAGGCTGCTTGCTAATGCTGCAGGGAGAAAGGAGTCTTCCTCCTACAAGGCTTCCTTATAAGAACCAAAGCCTGCTTGGAGATCAACCTTGTGCTGAACTGCAAACAATCATGTGTTAATTGTTTAGTTGCCTGCACTGTTATTACTTGGGGGATGGTGGCTAGGGTTGGCTTTTTATAGAATCAGGGCTAAAGGGTGATTCAATAACTATGAATAAAAGAAGTCCATACAAAAAAAACTTCTTTAGCCAGAGATAAGAATTATCTAGCCCAAACTCCCTCTGAGGAATTAGTAGGGTATGTTTGGGGAAAAGCATTAAAAACAGGACAAATATCTGATAATGTTCCTTCTCCTATAACCTCTCAAGCTTTCCGCAGTTTAGGAACTTCCTTAACTACAGCAGACACCTCTCCAGGCTGAAATTTTAGGGGTTCAAAACCAGCTGATGGCAGCCCTACTATCAATAACACCAATGCACAAAGACTGGTATGCAGTGAACCTGAGAGCTATTTATGACCATTTAGAAGGATGAGGGAGCCTATTGCCAGTATGTGCTAGAAGACTGATAAATGTGGAGGAAATTTTAACATTTAGGTCCAGATTATTAGAGAAAATACTTCATCTGTCAATTTTACATCTGTCCTACCTGGATCTTTATCAGTGCAGCTCTGTGCTATGTAAGCAGAACAATAAAGGCAGTGACAGTAGTTCCAGGAGCTTTGAGATAAGCTTCCACTGTGCCTATATATGCATATGTGTGCTTAGCACAGCAGAGATTTTTACTGCCATGTAACGCCTGCTAGTCCTAAGCATCAATCAGACATGACAAGTCACTGCCTAAAATCAGGTTGTTCTTGCTAGTGGCACGTTTCCATGGGCATAAGAACTTCACCATCACCAAAAGAACAAAATGACTGGAGATGGGGCTTTGGTGGGTGACAGTGCAGCCTGCTGTCCTCTCCAGTATAATCTGTGATATGTGCCTGGCTCCCTGCAATGCTCTGATATGAGTATTAAGTTCATTGTTTTTTTAGTAGGAATCATTTAGTAACACTGTGTTATATCCTATTAGAAAGCGAAACCGTTGTATTTAACCATGAATATGCTAGGGAGTTCATTTAAAATTCCCTTACTGTACACATCACATATTATTTTTTCAATTAAACTGATTCAGTACTGGCATACAACATACCTGTGTTTCCTTGAGTACTCTCATAGGTAATTGAACATCTGGAGGTAAAAAAGCAACAATAGAAAAGAAGAGATTGCATGTAGGTTCTTCATATTAAGTTGAACAAAATTCCACAGTGCCTACATGCTACTTGAAAGTGAATATAAAGTACCTCTGAGAAAGGAGCTGTAGAAATTGAGAGTGTTAAGACAGAACAAGGGGTTATGAAAATGTATAAATGCATTCAGGGGGAATACTAGGGTGCCACTGCTACCATCTGCAAGATGTGTTTCTCTTCTGGTTTCCTACTTCTGTTGCTTGAGAAGCTTTAATGTAAAGCAAATATTACATTTTTGCTGCTACTTACACCATATGCATCACAAAACTTTGTTTATTCTTAATAAAAATTAGATTAACGAATTTTCCAAATTTTTAGTATCTTCGAAAACTTTCTGCTTTCAGGAAAAGTCCTACATCAGGACAGTAGTGGGAAAGTGCAGGGGATGTAGAAAGTAGGGAGAAATAAAATAAAAGAGTTACCTGGATACACTCCATGTTCTACCTGTTTAAAGGCAACAAAGCATTTGTCAGTTATTTCTGTAGTCTGCTATCACTCCCTAAAGCTGTAACTTACATACATTTTTTTACATACTTTACACATAAAGTAAAGCTGCCTCAACTGATGATAGCTTGAGTTGGTCTTGTTCAACACATCACTGAGTGTCTCAGTGACCTTGCTTGAAGTGCAAGGGTGAAGTGTTTGCACTGATGAACTGTTCTGGAATGAAATAAAAGTCAAGAGTAAGCATTCCTGCATTGCCAAGCACCATTCTGTCCCTTTTCATCTTCCTCTCTTAATGGGGAAAATTAGCACGATCGTACTTATGACTGTTACTTCCTGTGCATGTATCTATCTGTAGGTGCCTGTGCATAAATGTAAACAAACCTGAGGTTTGCTCTTACCTCAGTTGGCCTGGGAGTGTTTCAGGAACCAAAATAGTATGTGAAATACAGGAGTTTGTTTCTTTTTTAAAAGGCCCCTGCAGAATTGCTATGGTACAGCAACCCGTATATAGTCTTCACATACCTCATACATTTTGTCTGAGTGTCTCATTATATTTCATGAACATTAATGAATTAAGTTTCAGGAAGGAACCATGTGAAGACTGTAAAGATTAGTGTCACTTAAAGGATGATTTGTGTAAAAAGAGGCTAATGATGTAGCCAAGTTTATTCAGGTGTCAGTTGCAAAACTAGACATAAAGCCTGTGAACCGTAACTCACAGGTGATCACTCAGATCACAAGCTCCCCACTGCTGCTTCAGAAAGATCACCCCCTTACCTGTTTTCAGTGATATATTTAGGCATACAAAAATTAAGCACTTTCATGTTGTTTTCAATCTTGATACTTCATTTTCAAGATTCAAACCAAGCAGTTAGCCCATCTGTCCTGAACTCGTGTATCAGCATTGGTATCTGAAGATGCATTAGCAGAAAATCATTAACTCAATCAGCAACAGAAAAATATGAATGCCAGAAGAGAATAATGTTCTGAAATTGTTCCCATATATCCAGATGTTTTCTGTGCCTCACACACTAAGACTAATTGTGACAAATTTCTGAGAATGTCTGGCCAAATTCTGCTGTGAGGTTAAGCATAATGGTTTGCACATCTATGTCAAAGCAAAACTTCTAATTGAGGAATGACCCTGTACCTTTGTATCATTAACAGTTGAGACCTTCCCACACCCTATTTTTCTATGTGTATGATATAACACCACAGAAATGGCAAACATCTTACATTTATAATGAGTGAAAGTGTAAAATAAGTTTGAATAAAACCTCTTCACCACAATACCAGCCTTCTCGATTGCAGCGAACCTATGGCAAAAGAAGCAAATGTGTTAAATGAGGTGTATTCTGGGAGCAGTTTTATGGTCCAGCCAGCTCCTCTGTCCAATAAATAGCTTGTTTGCATTGTTGTATCTGTGAAAGAAAGTTGTTGGTTCAAGTAGCTGTGTAACTCTGCTATGGCTCTTAAAATTCTGCAGCCTTGAAAGACAATTGGTCCCCTAGGTATAAAAATACGGTACTTGACTCAGTTCATTGTCTCAATTTAAATGGACTCACGAGATGTATTATCTTGTTGGGTAGTATGGGCACAGTGGCTGATGGGAGACTGGCCTGACTTGCTTAAAGTCCTTCCACAAGTGGGATACATTTGCCATCCTTTGATTGCCAGGAAAAAAAATAAAAAAATAAAAAAAAATAAAAAGAGAGAGAGAGCTTTTGTTCCTAGAACTGGGGCAAAGCCCATGTCAAGGATTTGCTGGTGTCCTGTTTCATACCAGCTCCTGAGAACTTTTTCTCCATTCACATGCACTTTTCAGCAGTGTTATCCTTAGTCCCCAAGACTAGGAGCATGTGGGAGTGTGGAGGAAATGTATATATTCTTCCCAGTCTTCCACTGGACAGAGCCCAAATTCCTTGCTGTGGGAGGGATACGAGGTTCAGAATTGGAAGAACGGGTTCTGGCAGAAACAGCCAGCTGAAAAGAGAGAGATCCACATGCAAAGTCCCTTCCAAAGATGAATCAGGGTGAAATGATTTTACATGTTCTTTCATTGTCCTTCCCACCTTGTAAACATTCCTAAAGCCTGTCTGTAAGCCCTGCATAAAGAAGTGCTAATATCCATATGTCAGTACTGGAAATGGTTTCTCCCACACCTAAAGAGCCAAGTTCATCCCATATGTAATTCCACTCACTTTAATAGCATTGCAGGAGAAAGGATACCAGGCCAGTGAGTCCACCCAAAAGCTGCAGATTCTGCTGAAAACAGCTGCTTGCCTTGTGGGTAGGATGAATCACCACAGGCTGCAGTTGCTCAGGCCTTTGCAGTAGATTCCTCTTCACTTCTGTGTGCAATTCTGCCTGCAAATATCTGAATTATCTGGTCACCAGCTGCTTAAAAGTCTTGAAAGCCTCATTTTAAGAGTTAAGGACAGCAGAGCAGCTCTTTTTCTCAATTCTTAAACTATTTCATTTGAATGTGTATTTCTGCTGTATTTATATTTTATTTATCCTATTAGAAGATGTTTATTAATTAGCTGCAATAGCCAGGAAGGGTTTTTATTCCTTCTGATACATTTTTTGATTTTCAGAGAGGGGGAATGACTATTAATTGTTCTTTGCTCAGTCAGTCAACATCTAGAACTAGGATCTAGGTCCAGGGAACCGATGCACCTACAGGTATTAAATTGCTTCAGTGTCTGGCCAGTACCTCGTGATCATATAGTCAGAAAATGCTGAGTGCCAGCTTTACAGTCAAAATGGAATTTCACCCTATGGTGAGACCAGCAGGGAGTTTCAGAGAAGGGGGGGGGGGGGGGGGGGGGGGGGTGAGAGGTTCATAGGATCATATGGGAATGTCTTTTAACAAATTCTCTTCTATTACAATGATTCTGTGACCCTGGTGGTGCCTTCCGGTCTTATGTTCCTATAAATACCTTGCTTAAGAACTAATTCCTTTTGACAATCTGACGGTGCTTCAGCTCACAGTAGAATATATCACCAGTTAGTTTGTCTTATGGCTAACTTGAGTACTAGATTTTTGTTTTCTGTTACTGTGTTATTCTAGACAGCAGGATATTGTTTTAAATATTACCTGTAGAAAATTTTTTGTTAATGAGTAAACAACCTTTCAGCTCCTTCAACAACAGATGCTCTAAATTAAAAGGTCTGAAAACAACAGTCATATTCTTTAAACAAATGGTGCACTGTAGGATCCTGAATTATAAATGAAATTGTAAATGTGTACAAAGTCCAGTTAGAATCTACTTGGGACCAAAGTTCACCCTAACAAGAAGTATAACATCAGACATTGCAATTAGTGTGTTAATTGGTGTAACTAAAAAAACTAACAAAGGAAAGACCTTCAGAGTGAAAGAAGGTTAGTTATTTTAATCACGCTAGAGCTTTTTATAAAATTGCTTTTATGGTTGAATAAAACACGAGACTACATAGTTGTATGAAAATGAGTTTCCACGAGCTGTCTGGTGCAAGAGATAAACAAGATAAAACTGACATACTCTTGGACACTGAAATGTATATGCAAAACTACAGCTATTTTGTGTTTGTGTGTGTGTTACAGAGAGAGAGAGAGAGAGTTGGGGTTTTAAGTGAAAACATCTATTTCCAATTGCCGATTTCCCTGTGCCCACATATAGGCATGAGGAAAAGTCATTTTTATAGCTAGCCTTCCTAACACTACATAAGGAGTAGCACCCTTCTTCCTTCCTTCCACAGCCTGTTGCACAATACTGTATGTGGTATGAGATTAGGGCTTCTTCAAGATGTTCTTTGTTCTTCCCATTTTATCTAATGCAACAAGGCAGGGGGTTGTCAGGACTTTACCAGGAAACAGTAGAACTATTTTTTTGCCCTAAGTCTGCAAATGCCTCCTTCTCTGCCCGTTTTTGCACAAATAAATTAGCAAAAAATTGATTTCATCTCACTTTGTTTTAGCTCTCTAGAAGTTATCCCAGGCACCTAAAATCCTAATCCAAAGGTCACCTCCCCTAATTTAGGTATCTAAATTTGTTCTGTAATGAATGTGCCCCCACCCATTATTTTACCTCTCACTCTTGGCTCAGGATCCTCCCCCTCATCATATTTCATCTAATTCTAAGACAAATGAGTTAAATGAGTAGACTTTGGTGTAAAATGGGACAGCTATTTTGGACTGGATGTCCAACTTATCAACAGCTAAAATTAAAAAGATTGAGCCCATGTTTCTTTTGGTTTTCTTCTGTGTAAAACTTCACACGCAATTATCTATATAAGCCATTTTAGATCCTAAATTGAAAGATCTTTTTTTTTTCTTTTTTTTTTATAGGTGATGGCAGCAGGTACAGAAATTTGTCTGCACATTCCTGCCAGGATTTATTGTAGTCCACATCTGTCATTTATTCTAAATTAGGAGTGTATTTGCTCTAGGCTTGTTCTATAGTCAGTGAAGAAAGGCAAGTACCTTCCGAGAAGTGTTTCTGGGTCTGCCTGCCTTTCTCCATTGACAACAGAGCAAGTCTCAAACTGCTACAATCCCATATTGGGTACTTCAGTTAAAGGATGGGATGAATCCATGTATATCTGCTGCAGTGCTAGAACGCATAATAAATTTGAAATCCACTTTAAAATCTTGCGAGTATAATATAAATCATATGTCAAATTACATATAGTGTCAGTGATGTGTTTGTGTGGTGGTATGCATACACACGCATGCATGAATGCTTTACATATGATTATACGACAACAACAACCAGAAAAAAAAAAAAAAAAAAAAAAAAGAATAAAACCCTGGTAATATAGCCTGTGAACCAGTTTTTAGAAAGATGTGGAAATTATTTTTTTTCAAAAGTGAGCTTTATCCTCTTGTACAAAGTGGAATAATACTTCCAAAGCCAATCAAATGCAGTATAGCATTCGTTCTAGATGAGTATGATTCTGTAGTGAGACCATTTTTGACCTGATGGAATGAGAACTAAAAAAAAAAAAAAAAAAAAGGAAAAAAAAATTAAATGCGTAGTGGTAATAAGAGAAACTTTACTACTGACCTCTGTAAAGACTTATTGCCAAGATTGCCAAGATTCATATTGTCAGTGACGTCCAGCATCAACAATGCTCACAAGCAGTGGACTCAAAATGAAGTTGTCTGTTTTTGGCAACAAAATATTCTGCATTTAGCAAAGGCATATGTTTCAAACTCAAATGACTTCACTTCAAATTAAAGCAAAAAAATGTTTTGAAGTATAGTCATTTGATAATCATTTGCTTTAAAATAAGCAACATATTTCTATCTAATGGGATCCACATCTCTAACAAGTGAACCAACAGTGTGACAAACAAAAAACAACCTGCTCTTAAATATAATTCCAAAATAAATTACATCTAGTTCTTTTTTTGTTGTTGTTGTGCTCTGTTTTCCTTTTTTGGCCGCCTGTATAACTCCCACAATTTTTTCATTGCTACAATGACAAATGCTATGAGAAAAGACCTGGTCCACTGCCAGAAATCTACTCTAGACTTCAGTATATGTTTCTGCTTTCAAGAGTCAATTGTTTTCCTTCTCTCCCAGGGGCCACTAGCTACCTTATTACCAGAAAGAATGACCCCTTGACAGCGCAATTGAGATCCAGAAACTCAACAAAATTGTAACCCCTCCAGTGGCATCAGAATTCTAATCAACAGCAGAGGGTCTGGAAGACAAATGTACTTGTGTATAAGGCCACCATATTAGAAAGTGGCTTCTCTACTTGCAAAGAAACCTATTTCTATTTTGTTTCTCTTGATATTTTTATTACCCCTTTTCTTGTAACCTTTTCATTGCTAGTGTTCTTAAGGTAGAAGGGTTTTCACAGCATGGGAATTATCTGTACTCTGTTTACACAGTTTGCTGCCTTTTCTTTCACTTGCAATCTATTTTGTGCAGTGTACAACTAGACATGGGAGTCCCCTAGTTATTACTGATTTTTTTTTTCTCTCATTCAGCTTAATCTACTAGCAGAACAATTGTTCCATCAATATGTTTATTGCCATATAAGAAACACAGGTAAGGACTCCAGCCTTGAAACCGCATTGAAAAATGAGCTTGGTATCTTAAGGTGAACTTCATAGAGAGCATACCTTGCACTTGCAAGGACGTGCACCAAAGTGGAGGCATATGATCATATTTCTCAAGTATAATTACTAGCAAAAACATTCAATATATTTGCTGGCTCCTTTTGCATGCCCAAGATTTGAGAATCTAATGTTGTTTCACATAAATACCTTCAGATAAATATACACAAAGATGACTTGGAACACAAGTCCCTGGTCTATCTAGTTGTTATATCTGTACACATGAGGCCTTGCCTCAAAGTCTTGAGGTTTACAGAATGTGTGCAGCCAAACTGGCAAAATGCATTTTGAAAATGTTAGAGAAATCCACGAAAATCTCAGTGTGAGTTAAAAGTTTTCTTGTGATTGCATTACAAGGATTAGCTGATGTTCATTTGAAGGAAAATGTTTAAGAGCAGCCAGTATGTGCCTTAGGCACAAAACAAACAAACAAACAAACAAACAAAAACCAGCAACAACATTCTGCTGAACATGCAGAGGGGAGAAGGGCATGTGAAGGACAAGAAAGCATTAGGGCAAAAAAAGAATCCGTGTTTTTGTTACCTTTCTCAGACAAAAGCATTAGACCCCCTAAGTGATCTCTGGAAGGAGCACTAGTTTGCCATCCTAGCACCTCCAGAGCAGGAGCAGCACAAACAGCAATAATTTTCCCTGCACTGTCCCAGCAACAAAATGTCCTGCTAATGCAGAGAAAGCACTGGGTGCTTGCTTTCCCTGGTGAGACACGTTTGTGCTACAGACAGGCAAGAGGGAGGATGCTGTAAAAAAGGCTCTTCCACCCTGTAAACCAGACTGAGATAGCTCACAGGAGCAGCTGAAGTGATACTTGTATTTTCAGGTCATTGCCATACAGAAGGATCAGAGTGAATGAGCTCTTGCTTTGCAAGCAGTCACACTACAGGGAGAGCTGCTTTGCATGTTTCCTTTGCACCTGCAAATTGAATCTCAGCGTCAAGACTTTAATTAATAACAAAAAGTGGAAAATTGACAATTGAATCTTTTGACACTTTTACCCCAAACTGTATTGACTTATTGTCTTGCATGTTAGGGTCATGTCTTTTTCATTCCTATACAGAAGCCAGAAGCAAGTTACACAGATTGTTACATGTGTAAGTGTTATACGTTAAAAATAATACCTCTAAATAATGCTGTCAAAGTACGAGACCTACCTGACTGATGGAACAGTCTTCTAAAAAAAAGCAGCTCTGAGCTTCCCTTAAAAAGAAAGAAGGAAAATCTAAAGATAACAATGAACAAAAAAGTAGCTGCTTCTGCCAGACCCATCAAGTTAAATGGTTCTTTGTATTGTTCAAAGCATGTACAGTATTGTCTTCTGTGGCAGAGGGTAAAGAGAGGGAACTTTCACAGATGTTTTGATGAGACAACAAATAAAAATAATATTTTGACAGAGAGCTCATCCCATTAAAAAAAAAAAAAATCATTTTGCCAGCTCAAACACAAATCCCCTTAACATGAAAAATATTGATGGTGTATGTGGAGCCATCCAGTAATACTTAGAGGAAACGTGCCATTCATAACAGAGCGTGCAGCATGACTAAAGACCCTAAGTGCCTGGCATCATTTGAGCTTAGTTTTAAATACTTATGATAGACATATTTTGGAATACGTTTCCTGAATGTAGTATCAAGGATTTACTTCAGCGTTAGCTGACAGGTTGAACTTATTGGGTTCATCTACCCAATAAATGCAAAAAGGATTAATTTCTAGGTATGTAAAAAGTTTGGCTTTTTTATGCTGGAATTGGGACTTATTTGCTTTCCTGATGAAACATTTACCTCACTCTGCCTCATCAATATTAACCTCACAGATCAACAGATCTTCATATCAACAGAATAGAGAAGTCAATATCTCCTTATTATTATTTAAGTATTTCATTGTCAGTAACTGAGTGAGAACAAACATCTGTGCAGTATAATGGCATGCACTTTAATTTCGCAAGGTTACCATCATGCAAACATTTGACAGAAGAAAGCTAACCCATAGTAAGAATCACACAGTAATACCAGAGTATAAAATGACAACATGTTGAAGGACATTTAAATTGAACAAAACAGGGTGTTTTTTCAGTCCTACTTTTGATATACAAATGTTGGATGTGTTTTACTGTGGCTTCTGACTATGATTGATAGGAGATGCATCAATTTCAAGGTTTGTGAATTTAAGTAAATTGTTGTCAGTGGTATCACTTCTTTTTTTTTGTATTTTTTTTTTCAAATTATCTCCTTACAGAGAATAGAGTATTACAAATTGAGACAGGATATACATAAAGCATCAATTTAGCTTGAATATCCACTTACAATAGCAAAAAGAAAATAGTTGTGATACAGATGTGAGTACATCAGAGTCATTCAGAAAACTCCAGAGTATTTAAAAAACAACACTGATGGTGGTTTGGCTTCTTTTTTTCCTAAAAAGTCCTTAGTATTTCCTTCTGGAAAATACTTTGTTTGCCTTTCCATTCTAAGGATAAACAAAAAATTTAAAAATAAATAAACAAACACAAAGCAGATCTTAGAGATGTCTTTTATCTTTGTCCTCAGAACATAATTCCATTACATTCTACATTAACAAGCAAACAAAACAAACAACAAAACCCAACAACTGTTTCAACTGCTTGCAACTTGTGACAAATTTATTAACCCTTCATGACTTAAAGGCAATGCTTTATTTGACTCAAAAGCCTAAGGAGCTTCCTTTAAAACCGACAGCAATTACATATTGTACAGCCAAGCTTGCTGAAGCTCCAGTACCTTCAGAAATTAGCTGTGTCTGATCTTAAACTAATTTTCCCTAGACCACTTCTTATCTGATGAGGTCTGACTTAGGATCTGGTGAAATGCACAGATACTTTTTATTATGTTTTCCAACTCATGGTCATGACTTGTTTCCACATATATACGTGTTGTGTCTATGTATCTGCATGCCTGTCTATATGCATAAGGCAATGTATATGTTATTTGTGTGTAGTTTTAGTTTTAACATCAGGTTCTATAAATGAATAAAGATATTATCTTCATTTTACTGTTTGCTAAAAGAGGCAACATGGAATGGATTCTGTAAATCTAACTATACATGTTGCTGATTAAAAGCTGATGGTAACAGTTAATATACAAGGGGACAGACTAGTTTTTCTTCTAACATTTTTTTCAGAGGAAAAAAAAATGAAAATTAGACAGAAAAGAGCATTTCCAGATGTGACTGTATGGGGCTTGATTTGAAGCACTTTTGTTATCTCCTTAATAATGCATGTAAGAATGCTCATGTGAAACGTTATGTTAAAACTCAGTCGTAGTAGATATTTGTGCTTATGAATTGATTCCTTATCTATATTTTATGGAGAAATAGCTCGGCACTGGATTACAGCACATTATTTTCCAAACTCCTTATTAGACTCTGCATCTCTCTCTACTGTGCCTCCAGGCTTAAATTAAAAACAAAACTTAAGTAAAATTTAAAGAGACAACATTCAGAAAGTTATTTTTTACAAAGCTTCTGAAAGTTTATAATTATTTTTGTCCCTAATAGGCTTGCCTTTGAAATAATTTGATGGCTAGGTTTATAAATCCATTTGGAAGGATCCAGCATCCCATAACCATTAATAGGAGTATATATCACAAAAAATGATTTTACATATAAATAATGGTATACAGGATTTGGCTTAAATTGTCTGACTTCATTTGATTTTTTTTCCCCTCTAAGATCATTTGGAGGGAGGCAGGAAGATCAAATTGAACACAATTTGGAAATGAAACTTGGATAATTGAGCTAAGTAGGTTGAACTTGTCAGTCACCTGTGACCTCCTCCTAGTTGCACATCACTTCAAATACCCAAAAGGAAAGGCCTGTGTAGAGTTGGAGAACGCACCCAGAGCAAGCAGGGCTTCACTCTGCTTACCACATTAGGAGGTAACCTGCTTGCTGCATTTCTGTTTAAGATGGAGGGACCCAAGCACAGTGCCTTGAGAAGGTGCTCAGACATCTGATGCGGTCATGGGTCTCGGTGGAGGAGAGCAGGATGGGTGCTGCAGGACAGCCCCATGCAGGGTGCTCTGGGATCAAAACTGCAGTGGACCTGCAAGAGATGACAAAGTGAAGCCTGGCAAGTAAACCAGAGCCCAATGGGGGTAGGGTCTCCATTAGAGACTCCTGCACCTGAAAGTTTGCAGTCTTCCCTATGTGTGAACCCAACAGCTCACTGCTCATTTCGGAGCGCTTATTCAAAACACCTTGGCAGCTGAGCCCTTCGTGCTTTCAGGATAATTATTTCTAATCGTGATTGGCAATAATAGTAATTGCCATATTCAGCTAGTGCCCAGCTGTAACGATTTTTTTTATTATTATTATCATTATTTGGGTTAACAATCGGCACTGACAACAACGTCTCCCTCCCCCAGCCCCACGGACGAGGGGCCGGCATCGCTCCGCTGCAGCCGCCCTGGGGGGGACTCCCCCACCCCGCCGGGCCCTGTCCCGCGTGGGCGCCCACGGGGGGGGCGAACCGGGCTGTACCGGGCCGCTGAGGGGCTGCGGCCCCATCGGCCTCCCCGGAAAAGCCTCATCCTAAAACTGCGGGCCGGCGGCGCGTCTCTCGCCTGTGAATCTTGGCGGGTTTGTTTGTTTTAGCTGAAACCGCCCCAAAGGCTCCGTGCTGACGCTGGTGAGGAGGGGAGCGGGGGCGAGGAGGGGCCGGCGGCGCTGACAGCTTGCCCGGGGCGTGGGGGGTGGCAATCGCCCCCCGGCCGCTGCGCCCCGCCGGGAAAGGGCCCCCCGCTGACCGCCCCCGTGCCCTTCCTCCTCCTCCTCCTCCTCCTCCTCCTCCCCCCGCCCCCGCCCGGCTGCAGGGTCGCACAGCACCGTGACGGCACCGCTGACTGTACAAGCGAGCCCAGCGCCTCTGCCGCCCGCTGAACTTACTTTGGTGGCTGTTTTGGGGTCTGCACAAGTTTGGTGCTGGGCATTGACGACCCCCCCCCCCCCCAGTACCGCCCCCCGCCCGTGATCCCGCCATGCTGCGGGACAGCCTCTGCGAGCACCGCCCCCTAACCCAGCCTAACCCTAACCCCAACCCCAACCCTCCGCCCCAGCCCTGGGGGGTAGGTTTGGGGCCGGAGGGGCCCCCGTGGGGATGCTGCTCCCTGACGTCAGGCGCCCGCTCCCCCTTTTGTTCGGTTACAAAGAGTTGGAGCAGCGGCTTACCTGCTCTGGGGGCTGCGCCAGGGAAAGGGGAGGCGGGCAGGCGAATTCAGCCCCGTCCTTCTCCCTCGGATCTGTGATCGCAACACCTAAATTAATTACAGCGGCAGCCGGGAAAGCGGCTCGCAGCCTCCTCAGTCCCGTGTTTTGCTGCCTAGAATGCAGGAAAAAGCAAAGTTTCCTTGGAGCCTGGATGTACCGGAGCTGCGTTAGCAAAGCTCGGTGTTTCTTGCTACGACCCATTGACGTAAACACATTGGCAAATATCATTATTCCTCCAGCAGTCTTTATTTTATATCTTTTCCTGTGCATCTCGTTCACGGCCATTCTCGTGTTGCGCATGCAGCTGCACATTAACCCAGCAAAACAACTGCGCTACAGCGGGTTACTCGCAGCAGACATTTATTCTTCCTCTCCTGATTCTACGGAGTTATTAAAAAGTAATGGGTGCCAAACAAATCGAGGGATAGTTCCTAATTGAGGAGGAAAAATTGAACAGTCACCGTTTTGCACAGTTCGTGGGCCACCCCGCGCCCAGGTCCCACGCGTTTTTCCCTCGGGGGCGCGCACACACGGGCACGCTCGTCCTCGCACCTCTGGGGCGGCTGGCTCCTTATTTCTCACGGAGCTTAAAGAACAACTCGCAACTGAAGACAAATGAACTGACAGGAAAATTTATCACTTTTTTTTCCACTTTAATTTCTTCACGTGCCCTAATGAAACGCCAAGCCCTTGGCGAGGGAGGCAATTAAACCGCCCGGCGCAGGGCGTCCTGAGTTCCCCAGCCCGCCGCAGGCTTTCTGGGGCTGAAGTTTTCCAGCGGTAAACCGGGGTTTTATTGGGGTGTGCGCTTATGATCTCACACCCGCGGAGATCCACCGGATCCCCACGGCGTGCCGTGTGTTTTGCAGCCCCCCGGCCCCTGAGCTGTGCGCAGCCATCCTTGCCGTGCCCCCTCCGTGCCGGTGCGCGCCCCGTAATTCTTCACAACGAAATTGCTTCCCCTCGGCTTCCCAGGTTTTAATTTAGCGGAGGACTGATTAGCTGTGGCTTTAAAAGGGCCAGGTCTGCGCTAGCTCGCGGCGTCACCTCTCACCTCTCACCTCCCCTCAGCCCTGGGCTGGGGTCACTGCGGGGCCACGACGGGGGAGCGGGCAGCGCGGCCCCGGCGGCGCCTACCTGCGCGCCCCGCGCAGCACCCGCACAGTGCCGCCCCCGGTAGGAGCGCGCCCCCGGGGCCGGGGGAAGCGCCGCCCGCTCGCCCCCGCCACCAGCAACCCGCAGCTGAAACGGGTGGTGGCCGGTGACGCGGGGAGATGCAGCTCCGCTAGGCGAAAATAAGGGGTTAGGAGATTCTAGGTGGCATCCTCCTGTCCTAAAGCCGCCCCTTCTCCCTCTCGGGGGAAGGGGGGGGGAGGGAGGAAGGGCTGGCCGGGGTGCATCGCGCCGATAAAGGCTTCGTGTAAACTTTTGCGTTTGGAGGCAACAACTTCAAAAAGCTGCGTCTGATTAGGTTCAGCCGCGGGTACCCAGATCGCATCGATTTGCGGATTCATTGAAGGTGTCAAGAGCCGTTGGTAGCGTTTCTGGTCCAGTGTCCCTAAATCAGCAGCTTCTCCCTTCTCTGCCACCAAATCCTGGAATTAGTTTAACAACAACAACAACAACAAATTATTTTTCAGCTGTAAAAATTCATTTCAAAGAGGGGTGATGTGATAAGAGTAGAGGTTACAACAAAAATAACAGAGCGCTTCTGAACAGACTTCACTTTGAGTAAATGTTTCGAGTATGTCGGATGATCCCCATTAGAATGATGATATAGGCTTTATTCTGACGGTTATGGAAGAAAAATAAATCAAACAATGCATACGAAAATATCAGGAAAAAAAAAAGGCTAAAAATGAATTTATTTTCGGAAATTAACAATAAAAGGTGTAAGTTCGTTTTTAATAGTTTCGATCTTTATCAAACGATCGATGTAGATAAAGGCAAATAGAGAATATTCAGGAAAATGCAATTAATTTTAAGAAGTTACCTTTCCTTGAATGTACCGGTGCTCTAACAGAGCTGGTGCGGAGCCATTGCTTTGTTTATTTTTCTAATGTCTACCCAAATTCCAGCAATCCACAGAGTAGTAACAGCTTTTTCCATGTGTTTATCATCGAGGTTGCAACAGGATTCGCCTCAATTGTTTTGCCTTTCTTGTGTTTTCCTTTCTTCCTTTTCTGCATTTCCCAGCTACATTTGCTTTGGTTGCAAAAATAAACAGCGGAGTTTTTAACAGCAATTTGAGATGATAATGGTTACTGATCCCATTCTTTCCATCATAATCTTCAAGTGGTTTAAGATTAATGATAGGAGGTGTTTTAGTAAGGAGTGTGGGTTCTCTTCTCCAAAGACCATCGCTATGATAATTTACTTAAGATGTTGACAAGACTGTCAGTAAGGCTAATTTTTTATTAAGCTGCGCTGTAGCAACTGTAGTAAGCATTTGTTGTTGTTATTTAAGCACACCGTATTTCTGAATGCCTTCCTATAAATATTGTTATTTGCTCTCTGCCTGATGGATTTGCAATCGAGATGATTCCCCTCGCCTTTGTTTCAAGAAAGGTGTCTTCTGCTATTCTGATAAATATTCCCCTCCACCCTCCCCCACACGCACATTTTTAAAAGAAAATAAAATTGAGCAACTACTGTCTCGATCCAGCAAGCCAGATCCGCAAAGCTTTGTTTTGGCCGGGCTCTGTCTAGGCACAGCCCTGACCCAACGCAACTCGGCTCAGGTTTGCGCGGCGGTGTTCTGCTTTTGTTTTTATTTTTCCGATGGGCAAAATAATCACGCCAACTATAAATATTTAACTGGAGCACCTCAGCGCGCAAAGAGGCTCGGGTGCCTCTTTAAACGCGGCCGACTTATGATTTTTTTTTCTTTTAATATATATTTTTGTGGATTCCGAGCGGAGTTGTGCTTTTGTTACTCTCCCCACCACCCCCGCCGGACCGCGTCCTCCTCGCCGGGGACCAACGGGGGTCCGGAGGGCGCCGGACCGGGGTCTCCCCTGCAGCCGCATCCCCCTCCTGTCCCCGGAGCTCCCCGGCCGGCAGCGGGGGGGGGGGCGGCCGGTGCCGCGCTGAGGAGCTGCGGGTGCTCGCTCCAGGGGCGAGGAAGGTACGGGGCAGGCGCTTGTCGCTGCGGGGACACGTCTGGGATGCAACCTCGCGGCAGATCGGTTGGTTTCACCCTTCTGCCGTGTTTTCCATAAACACAGAACCGTAGGCTTGCTTACCTATAAATTACCGGCACCATGTGACACTCGTTTTGCCCTGCTTTATTGCCTTTTTCGCTCCCCTCACCCCGGTTGCTGGCCCTATGCATGCCTGGCGCGCAGCGGGGCCGGGCGGGTGCCGGGCAGCCATGGCGGGGACCCCGGGCATGGCTGGGGTTGGGGATGCGGCTGGGGATGCCCGGCGCCCTGCCGGGACCCTGCCCGGGGGACTCCGCGGAGGGGCGAGGAGGGGGGCAAATGGCAGGGACTGCGAAAGCGCCTTGACCCCTGTTATCAGCGCCCACTCTTTTCCCCGTCGGTGCTCTTTAAAATGGAATGAGATAATTAAAATAAAATAAAATAAAATAAAATAAAATAAAATAAAATAAAATAAAATAAAATAAAATAAAATAAAATAAAATAAAATAAAATAAAATAAAATAATAAAAGACATTCGGCAAAAAGTCTCCCCCAGCCCCACGAAGCCGGCTGCGGAGCGAAGGGCAAGGGGCCGGGAGCGCGCTCCCTCGCCAGGCTGGCGATGCGCGCTCCCGGCGCCATGCATGGCCTCGCTTTCCCCCCCCACACACACACCCGGCGCGTAACCGAGCGGCCGGCGCGACCGGAGGCTGCGCGGCGCAGCCGGCAGGGGGCGCTCCGACGTTGCGCCTGGGAGCCCGCGCCGCGTGCCCGCCGCGCCCGCGTTCCCGCAGGGGCGCAGGGCCGCACCCGCAGCCGCGCTCCGCGGCGCCCCCCAGTCCTTAACCCCCTCCCCCGCACCCTCTCCCTCCGCCGCGCTCCCTGTGCCCGCAGCCCCGGGCGGGCGCCGCGCAAGGTGCGCGCATGGCGGGGGCCCGGCCGTGGCTGCGCGGAGAGCACCCACACCCCCCTCCACGGCCGCCCTTCTGTGTGTACCGTGCATTATGCAACTTATTAAATACGGCGAGAAATTGTCAACATTTTTTTCGCCTGTTAGTTCCGCTGATCCGGGCAGGATTTATTTTCAGATCTCAGGTCCCGGAGCTATAATGCGTGATTTCTTTGCCTTAAATAAAATTGGTCAAATGTTGACAACCTTTAAGCCAATCTAACACTCGAGATTACTGATGGGAAACTAATGAGAAAATATCAGATCGTCCGGCCTGGGGGCTCCTAATTAAATCTTAGCTGATTGAAAAATAAAAGCGGGTTCGGGGGCGTGGGGGAGGAGGGAAGAAGCTCCGGGCTGAACTTTAGCTCTCGTTTTGCGTTCTGTTCCCCCAGCCCTCCCCTCCCTCCTGGCTGCCCCCTCCCTCCCGAAAAGCCGCTCCGGTTCTTTCCAGGGATCCGAGCGCGGCTATCGGTCCTTGCCCAGTAAATATTAAGGCCTTTAAGCAACGCGATTTAACTAATTAGAAAATTTACATCATTAAGTCTCAGGGAGAGAAAAAAGGAGAAACAAATCTGTCAGTCATTTTAAAAGAGACAGGTCCTATTGAAGTGTGAAGAAATCGGCTCTAATTCAAAAAGGCAATCGGGCAGAAAAAGCCCTCAACATTACCCTGCTAGTTATTAATCAGAAGGGGGTTCCCCCCCTCTCCTTCTCTGTAATGGCAAGAGCTGAAGCACATCGTTAGTTTCCCCCGACACTGCCGCGCGGCTCCCATTCAGTTTTTATTGCCGCTCGCCCCTGCCCCACGCTAAGGGCGAGCACCCGGCCATCCGAGGCTCAGCCACCTGGACGCGGGGCCGCGCTGGGGACCCAGCTCCGCACCAAGCTGGGGCCCCGCATCCCGCAGCGTCTGCCGTGCGCGCTCCGTGGCCCCGTGGGAGCGGGCTCCGACAGGGATGGGACGGGACGGGACGGGACGGGACGAGACGGGACGGGACGGGATGGAAAAGCCCGGAGCTGGCGTTGCCCGGGGGCCGCCAGCGGCAGCACCGGACTGGGGAGCCCCCAGCTGCTCGGGGGCTCCGGGAGGGGAAGGAGCGAAGGGGCTCGGCCCGCCCGCCAGCCACCGTTGTTGCATCTCCCTGGCTCGCCCTCCCTTTCTCCCTCCCTCCCCCCCTTCAAACACCCTCTGTAATGCCCCCCTTCCAACTGGGCGCTGAGGACTGTGGCATAAATAATAAATACATCCTACTCTGCGCTTTCTCTCTCCTAATCTCGAAGAATCTGACAGTCACTTTAATCAAAGGAGTTTGCACTGTTTCTTCATGGAGCTAATTTAAGGAATTTTAAACGCGCTTCAGACAAAACCAGGCGATAGGGGCCTATTTCTGGTCCCACGGCCCGGGAACGAACTCTCCTGCGGCTCGAGGAGTTAACCCCCTGTAAGTGGGTTCAGAATCAGCCCCCTAGTGTGTTTTACCTGGCAGGAACCTGTAAAGACAAAATGTTCTGGCCAATGAAAAAAAAAAAAAAAAAAAAAAAAAAAAAACCAACAACTCTGCCAGCCTGATTCCGGCTCCCATTTACTTCCAACTGTTAACTTGTAGTCCCCTCTGTAAGTAGGTTCTCCCAGACACGTAAAGGTCTTCGCCAGCACAGACACATGCCTTCATTAGCGCGCCGCGTGCTCGCAGGCAGAGCCGTGCAGTGCCCGCGCAGGCGGCTTCTTGCAGCCGGCGGGCAGCGGCCGAGCATCGGGGGCGGACCGAGCCCCCGGAGCCGGGGGGCCGGTCAGCAGCAAGCAGTGCTGGGGGGCGCACAGCCCGGCTGCCCCCGCCCCCTCGGCATCGCTCTGCCTTGCGGCTGGTCGGAATGAGCCGAGTTTTGTGAAGAAGGCCCTTTCGAGAGAGAAACAAAACCAGCGACAAGCTCTTCTTTCCCCCAAACCCAAAGTGAATATCAACCTGTCCGCTCGCCGGGCTTCGCAGCTCGGAGGCATTATAATAAAATTTACGGCGTCCTTAACAACTGCCAAGTAAAAGCATTAAAATCCCCTTTAATTGAGAAAACATTGATTTTTAACTCTGGAAAGAACGCAACCGTAATTTAATTGCAAACTTTCACCGATATAGCAGCATCTTAGGGAGGCAACATTCCGTCTTTAATAGACCTACTTTATGAAGTGATAAAAACAAAGAAAACCTGACAAATAGACAGTTGCGACAGTGAAAGAAAAGTTATTTGCCTTCCCCTCTCCCTCTTCGCAGCCCCAGAATATCGTGCTCCCCCCGGCACCCCTCCCCAGGAACTAAACAAGTAGAAAAGCAGAGGCTTGGGGAGCCAGGGAGAAGCCGCAGTTCATATTCTAAACTTCGCCTTTAACATGCGAAGAATGATACCAAGCGATTTAGGGAAACGTTTTTCAGAAAACGGTAGCCTCTTTTTAAAAGGATCGGGTGAATTTTCCTTACTTTCCCTCGTCCGTTAAAATAATAATAATAATAATAATTGCTAAAGGGAAAGGAAAGGAAAGGAAAGGAAAGGAAAGGAAAGGAAAGGAAAGGAAAGGAAAGGAAAGGAAAGGAAAGGAAAGGAAAGGAAAGGAAAGGAAAGGAAAGGAAAGGAAAGGAAAGGAAAGGAAAGGAAAGGAAAGGAAAGGAAAGGAAAGGAAAGGAAAGGAAAGGAAAGGAAAGGAAAGGAAAGGAAAGGAAAGGAAAGGAAAGGAAAGGAAAGGAAAGGAAAGGGAAATCCCACCCTCGCTTTGTATCTTATTTCTGTATCGGTTTTTGGTATTATAGGAGAGTAAAGAAGTTTTTGTTTGGTGGTTTTTCATTGATCAGTCACTCTGAGCTAATGTAATTATCCTCATCAATAGAAGGCTGCAGAGAGAATCATTATGTGGGTGACATTGATAAATGATCACCCAAGAGCTGCCTTTTCTCTTGGGCACCCCCACATATGACCCTCCCACATACACAAGGTAGCCATAGAAACACCTTGAGATCCTCAAACACGGCTGCAAATGGGAGAATACAGAAAAAGCGAGAGAAACACAACTTCACACACTTTCTGTCCCTGCCGACGCCCCCTTCCCATAGCACGGAGCCACCGAGCAGGGCTCGCTCTGCGCCCCTGCCCCGCAGGCGCCGAACTCCGGCCCCTCTCACCCCCGCGACATCACACCGAGCGGGAGCTGTGTGTGTGCCGTGGGGCTTGCTTCCCCCCCCCCCCCCCCCTTTTTTTTTTTTTTCATTTTCTAGGAGGGTTAAATAACGGAGCCGCACGCACCGTGTGGCTGCACGGCTTGCTCCCTACGCTCCAGTTCGAAAGTCGTTCGTAGAGATGCGCAGCTGCAGCGCCTGTCACCTCCCCAGAAATGCGGCTCTGGGAAAATGGTTAAACCCGAATTATTTGTAGCGATTTTTTAGTCACAGGGCTGTACGGGAAGGTTCTGTGTTTCCTGCTAAGGTAAAGGTTAATGCATTTTTCCGGCCGCAGACCCCCTTTTATATAAGCAAATTCTAAAATATTGAGAGCAGTAATTGATTCATAATGATCCATAAATCGATGCGAGGAAGGGGCCGAGGGTGTTTATTTATTTTATTCCTAAAGCTGCAAGTAAAGTAGCTCTGACATCGTGTGGGGATGAAGGGGAGGAGTTGTTTAGCTGTGCGGGGTCATCCATCATCACTGTCGCGGGGACTCTGCCCAGAGCAGCGACCTCCCTTCTGTCTCTCTTTCTCGCCACCAAAACTATTAATATTAAAATCCGCCTTCAAACCTTTCCCCCGCCAGTCTCGAATCTCGCACGGTTCTCCTCGGCTCAAAGGCGCTGGGCTTCGCCAGCCTGGCAGCCGATAGCCCTCGTTCGGCGCCGCTGGGGTTCGCCCCCCGCTTCCCCCAGCAATAGGGACAAGGACAGGAGCACCAAGTGCCGGCCCAAGCCTCGGCAGCCGTCCCCGCTCCCCAGGCGGCCTCCCCCGGCCTGTCGGAGCCCACCGCTCCCTCCCCGGTGAAGCGGCCGCGGCGGCGGGGGGGATTCCGCCCGCCCTCCCCCGGCAGGAGCAGCGGGTGCGGGCCGGCCCCGCTCCGGGCCCCCAAACCCCTCCGTGCCCCGGGGGCTGCGAGGCCGAGGGGCAGCGCCGCACGGAGAGCGGGGGCCGGCGCGTCCCGGCTGCTGGGTGCCCCCGCCGCATCCCGTGCCCGGCCCCCTCCCCGGCCCCGGCCCTCGCAAACCTGGTCGGGGGCAGTTTGCTCGCTCGCTCTGCCGCCGGGAGGGAAAGTGGGGGGGGGGACAGCGCTTGGCTCCCCCGGCATCGCCTCTTCGGCCCCGCAGCGGCCGCTCGCCGCGGCGGGCAGGACTGGGGGCGGCTGCGCGGGCGGAGGTGCGCTTCCCTCCTCTCTTCGCGTTAACCGCAGCGAAATCTGGAAGAAAAACCCCTCGTTTGCGGTGACTGCAACCCCCCGGCCCAGACCCGCTCAGGGAAAATGGAGTTTGGGATTATAAACATGTGTGTGTGTAAACAAAAGGTGTTTCTTCTGTTACCCTTCGTTTCCCATAGCATAAGCAATTTTTATTCAGACTAGAGTATTTTCTTTAACACTATACCGCTGTCAAAACATTATTCCCGTTTTGGTTGATTTTGACAGCTGAGCAGTTTTTAAAAATACCAAAATCGGAACCTTCCGTGCTAAACAGTAAATCTCAGATGGAGAAATCTCTGCGCGTTATTGTACCTTGGATCGCAGCAGCACGTCTCACGGTGAGCACAGCCCAAAAGGGGAAGAAAACGAGAAAGAAAATAAAGGACAACACAGCAACATCAACGTTTAGTTCAACATAAACCCAACAATCTACTACGGATAAATCGTTCCCTGTCCTTCTACCTGGGCGAGGACGTTTTCTGGCATTTCTCCTAAAACTGTGAAGAAAAGATCTGCAAGAAAATAAAGTCCTGATTAAAAACATAGCCTCCCTCTTAACGTGCTGACACAACAAACCTTGCCTTCTTATTTCCCGCATCCACAGTGACCAGAATGTGAAAACTGGGACCCAGGGCATGCTCTTCTTTCGGGACTTAGGGGTCGACGTGATTTTAACCGGGACAGAGACTATCCAAGCCTCGTGTAGAATTACCATTCTTTACATTTCATACGGGTGCCCTAAAATGACGCCCACAAAGCAGGACCCGACTGCTAAATAAATCCTCACACCCATTCCACTGGCATCCTCCCTTCTGTTGCCAGCAGCGTGGGTCCATTTACTCAGCTCAGAAATTAAACATTAACACCGAGGCTGAACCTCTCGCGGCATTCTGGCGGCAAAAGTTGTCAGCCCAAGTTTTTAATAACATGCCAGCCATTTGGAACGAGGAGGAGGACAGCGGAGAAGGGTCACAAATCTACAAATGGTTAAAGAAGTAACACTGGCTTCCTAGAAAGTTAATTCCAACCCCTTTCCCACTCCCCTCCGCCCGAAATAAAGGCAAAGCCTTTCCTTGCTCCTTGGGCCCCATCCTGCTCCCGCTGACTGAGCAGTGCCACCAAGCTCTGGGAAAGCAGGCTGTCTTTCTAGCAGTGACAATCCCCCCCTCCTCCCTCCAACTCAAACTCTCCTTCACTTTCTTCCAAATGCCACAGGCTTTCGTTTAAGTAAAACCAACCCTCGCCCAGGATTCTGCACCAGCTATTTATATTCAAAATGTCAAATTAACATTTTCCCTCATTAGCTGAGGGTCTCTATTCCCCCCCCCCCCTTTTTTTTTTTTTTTTTTTTTTTTTTAACAAATGAAGAAAAGAAAAGCAATAAAACCATCTCAAAAGCTACATTGTGCAATCCTCACACAGGTAAAACTCTCGTTAAAGTCAAAGCTGCTTTGCTCTTCCTGAAACTTCCGAACCTACGCCTGGGTTACAGCCATTCTTCAGTGCCGAGCTAAGTAGCTGGAGTTAAGGACGGCAGTGGCTGTGCATGCACATGCACTTACACATACATAGACACGTACACGTACACTTAACACACATGGCTTACTGGTCTTGCACATGGGCCTTCACAACTCACACAGAGCTTCTATGTTATTAGCAGATAGTACAGACATTAGACACAGCTCTCTGAAATACAAGCTGGTGAGAAAATAGTTTGAGTTTTGTTTAGTCTGGTATGAAAATAATATCGATAATCAGCAGAAATATATAATTTCAGATGTTCTTTCACCCAATTATTCTATTAATGCTGATGACAGGCTTGTTTCTGATTTTTCCAACCTTTCTTTTCAATGCTCATGAAGAAATATATTTGAGACATCTCTCCCAATAACTTCAGTCTCGATTAAGCATGATTAAAAACACAAAAGCCTAACAAAAAATCAAAAATGAAATATTTATTACCGCATTTTGTGACTTAACACCTTTTTTTTTTTTTTTTTTTTTTTTTTTTTTTTTTTAAAACATAACGTCACAGTCCTCATACAAGTATTTTAATGTAAATTTTGACAAAGCTTAAAGGTAACAGCATTTTCTTCTAGTGAGGAACACGTGCTGAGAAAGGAAGAATTCATGGACATACAATACCAATTCCACAGCAGATCTGATACTAGCAAAAACATTCTTTTTTTTTTTTTCAATTGAGGTAAACACATAGAATATCTAACATGAAACAATTAATAGACCGAACTCTGTACGAAGTTTGTTACAGTATTCTCTTGCTTTTTTTTCCCAAGCTTTGAGTTCATGATAAAGTTCTAGGTTTGGTGCAAAGACCGTTAGTAACTTCTTTCATTGAGGAAAGCTGCCCAACTTTTAGTTATGTTTTGTCCAAAGCCAAGGCTCAGAACTACTGGAAGAAGCTCCTGCTCTGTCTGTTTTGTCTTTTAAATCTTCACCTGCAAGCTCTTTGAAGAAGAGTCCAAAAAAAAAAAAAAAAAAAAAAGACGGGAGGAATGGGGAGAGAATGGGGAGAGACTTAATGAAGCACAAACTATAAAGATCTGTTTGAAACTAAAGGACACATTTTATGAAGGAACAAAACGAGGGAATGGCAAGGCCTTCTTGGAACAGTCTTCTGAGTGATGAGAGACCCAGCAAGACTTTGCGTCTTCATCTCCAGGGTAGTTCTTTTCTCACTGGCCAAAACAGGTCTTTCAAGGTCTTTCATGGATAGTGACTTCACTGCTGAACCAAAACAGTCATTCTTTTGGGAACAACACACATAGTGTGGAAAACAAGGATTTTTTTTTCTTCTAAAACTATTTGAGGCAACATAACGGAGTGATCAACAGAAATGTACAAGTTAACTTAGTTCCTATGTTTATACTACAGTAGTTATAACTCTTGGAGTCTTTTTTTCTTTTCTTTTTTTTTTTTTTTTTTTTTTTTTCCAGAGGATCTGTACATGGACATATTCATTTCAGTGAGCCCATGGTTTCACATTTGTGTTCTTGTTTCATTGGTCCTCTGTTGTTGATGAAAAATGACAAAAAGTAAAAAATAATCACAGCTGTCTGGAATTTCGTATTAAGTGTCAACATCTGGTCAAAGTTCAAAAGTCTTAAAATAGTTTTTGTTTTGTTTTGTTTTGTTTTTCCCTTGAGTTCCCTTCTAC